ACCTGTGTTTTTTTCATTTACTTATTGGCACGGGATTGAACATCAGACACCGTGCAATAATATGGTTATTATATGGGTTATAGAAAATAACAATTTGCAAGTTTAACCTATGCTTTCAGCCATGTAAAATTCAGCATCAAAATTGTGGGCTGTAGCGCGCAAAAATTTCTTTTGAAATTTTTAATGTGCGCTTTGTGCACATTTTTTTAATTTTAAAGTGCGGAAAATTTCTTCCGCACATTAAAATTTTGGATACGGTTGACCCGTGCAAATTTAGTTATTTTTACAACCTATACAATAACTATAACGCACGTCATACGTACGTACGTATAAAAGTTGTACGTACGTACCAATTTTTATTGAATTTATAATAACTTAATCGGATCGACCGAAAAATCATTCGGCTAATTTTTTACAGGTGTCCCAGGAATTATGAAACCAGCTGTAATATGTTTTACTATTAAATGCCCGGGTATATAAGTATGATATCCTCATACTTATATACCCGGGTATAAATCAAGATTTGGCATCCAAAATCGCCGCGGGGTACAGCCCACGGGGGTACACATGTCGCAGAAATACGGTAATTTTCCCCTAAAATTGATTAATAACATAGATGGCAGTAAATAACAGAGGGGGTACAATAAATTATTTTTAAATAGCGATCAATAGGTAACAATTTTATAATAATTAGGCCACACAAATTTAATACGTATCTTGGTTTTCATAAAATGAAACTTTTAAACAAACCCGGCCGGTTTTTTTTTTATATTATAACATAAATTTTTTTTACAAGTTTTCAAATTTTGACCTGGCCGGCTTATGAAAACCAATTAATTAATTTTGCATGGCCTTACTACGTACAAAAATTAAAGATGTACATTCTTAACAGTACGATAGTTTTGGGTAAAATTTTACAAAGACCAGTATTACGTTCTTACAAACAATGCTAGAGTCATTTTTTTAAAAAAAGAAACCAAACTAAACCCATTCTTTTTGTCTTTAAGAAAAAAAATTTTTCGTGTTTAAATAAAGGAATTAAAGAAATGACTCTATAGTTTTATTTGTAGAGACGTAGCATTGGCCTCTATCAAACCATAAAATTTTTTTACCTATCGATATTCATGTACACCACGCACCCCAAAACGCGTGTTAAAAACAACAGTTCAAAATACTTTATCTTTGCTTGGATTATGCACTCGGTTATTTAATTCAAAAAAGTTTACGGCAACGAATAGGAAAGCTAAACAATAGAATTCTAAAGTGTACGGGTACATCCGACACACTTTTTATACATATCAATAATGAGTTTAAAATATTTTGAATTTGACAAAATTATTACGTTTTGTTTGAATAATATCTATATCAAAAATAGCTTGTTACACGATTAAGGATTTTTTTACGGTAGGTACCCAAGTATGATGTCAAACCTATTTCCAAAGATAGTTATTTCAATACGCTTATCACATGAGAGTTAACAATATAAATTTGCTATTTTGAAAATTTTTTGCAGAAAATAAGCATGTCAACTATAAAACGTAAAACAGCCGTTAAACCATCGTCGCAAGAAGATGAAAATAATACTGGAGCTACAGCAGGATCTGATCAATCGGAATCATCAAAAAACATTTCTCGGATTTTATCATCATCGGTGTCTGGCGCTTCTTCCCTTGTTATTCTCCAACTTATAAGCAGACTTGCAACTTTTGGTCTGCACCAAATTGTACTGCGTTATACCGATCCGGCAACATTCGGCATTGCATCAGTTCAATTAGAATTATTATTAGCTACTATTTTGTTTTTATCTCGTGAAGGATTTAGATGTGCCTTGTTGAGAGGCGATGATGACACCATTGTAGCGGACTGTAATAATATTTCAAAAGAATCGAAAGTACTAGCAGATTCTAAAAAGGGTTCTGTGCAAAAGATTACAAATTTATCTTATATTCCCATTCCCATTGGAATGATTACAACATTCCTCGCTTGTGCATTCTACTTATATTATGCCACTGAAGACACTTTGAACACTCCATATTATGTAACATCAGTTGTTTTATATGGTTTATCAGCTTTTGGAGAACTTCTAATTGAACCACTCTTTATAACTGCTATGAATAACTTGATTTTCAAACTTCGTGTGAGCTGTGAAGGAATAGGCGTGATAGTTCGCTGTATTATTACCCTTGCACTGACTCTCTTAGGCGCACAAGGAAATGATGAAAAATATTCAAATACATTTGGTATTTTGGCTTTTGCAGTGGCTCAATTCGCATTTACATTAGTAATGATGACTGGTTATATTGGTTACTTTGTTTTCAAATGGGATATTTCTTTGTTGATGCCACGAAAATTATATGATAATAAGTATGCTTATTCCTTTTTCATTTCTCATAATTGTTTAACTTTTATTCATTGTTAAATGCTTTCATTCATTATAAATTTCCTAAAGAAACAAAGAATTTTGGTTAGATGCACATCTTTTTGGCCTTGCAAAAACATTTACAAAGCAATCATTATTAAAACATATATTGACCGAGGGTGATAAAATGTTGATAGCATGGTTGAGCAGTCCAGTGGACCAAGGAATTTACGCCTTTGTAGTAAATTATGGTATGAATGAACGAAGATTGTTGTATACACTTTAGTGAAAATAATTAAGTCAACTTTTCATTTAGGTTCTTTGATTTGCCGTATTTTATTTCAACCACTTGAAGAAGCTGGCAGAACATTATTTTCTAAAATTTTAACTAATGTTGACAAAAAAGATGAAAAAGATGCAAAAAAAATGACAGACACACAAAAAACAGCATTATTTACATCATTAAAAGTTTTAACAACAATAATAAAATTTCATATACTTCTTGGACTTCTTTTTATCTGTTTTGCTACGAATTACACTGGAACATTGATTGATCTTCTTGTAGGATCTGTTTGGTCTCAGTCTCCTGCACCATTAGTATTATCTGCTTATTGTTTGTATGTTCCGATTATGGGTGTTAATGGAATAACAGAAGCATTTGTGGCTGCAGTTGCAACTGAAGAGACTCTGAGCGCCTTAAATTATTGGTTAATAGCATTTTCTGCTGGATTTGTGGGTTCAGGTGTTATCTTCATGAAAGTATTTGCGGCTGGTGCATTTGGATTGATCGCAGCTAATGCATTCAATCTTTCAACACGTATTACTTGGAGTTGGAATTTTATTCGAAATTATTTCTTAAAAAATCGCAATTGTTCTCAAAATGAAGTAAAAGAATTACGGCGGATGCTATCTTTATCAAATCTTGTGCCACGGCCATTAGTATTGATATCATTCTTTATGTCTTGGGTTGTGACTTTTTGGTCTAATGAACATATTGGATGGGCGACTATCGATGCAAAAATGAAACATACTGGAATCGGTTGTTTTTGCGCGATTATTGTCGCTGGTATTACGTATCCTTTCTTATGGCTATACTTTCATTAATTTTTTGTTATAATAGAATTATATTCGCTCTTAATACATATTTGTTTATTTTTCTTAACCATGTTCAATATTTTTTGAATTTAGGTACCAGCAAGAAAGTATTTTCATACAAGACATAGCAAGCCTTATTCGTGGTAACAGTTGGACAAAAAAGTTAGATTAATTGTTTTATTAAACGTAGTCTGAAATACTATGTACCCTATTGAATAGGCAAAAAAAAAACACACTGCAATTAGAGCTTTAAGATAACGATTTCCATGAGATAGATTTTTGTTAAGACTTAGAAATTTTGGTCAAAAAAAAAAACTTGATTCCGGATCATCAGAATTTCAACACAAATAATAACTATTGCATTTTATGCATTCTATGCTTGAAGGCTATTTATAGTACAATAAATTAATTTGAGCGATAAATGCTTATTCATAATTTTTCTTGACGTTTAAATTCTTACTAGTGTGTACCCGTCGCTTGTGCTGACGGTTATTAAAACTTTTAAATACAATGTTTAAATCAATTTTATCATATACACCATATACACCTTTAATTCATGATATATATAGTTGTCTAATTGAATTACAGTAAATATATACAGTGGGGTCAAAAATGTAACAATAAAAAATTTAATCTTACCACATCATCGAGGTGTCATTTCAGGACACAATTTAAAGAGAGCTAAGAATTAATTTGGACGAAGACTTTTGAAATTTAATTATTATTCGCATTCAGCTATAATTCCTGCTCTTTAAATTGTGTGACTTGAAATAACGCCTCTGGGCGTTTATTTCACAATGATATGGTTTTCGCAAATGGAATGTATTAGAATTATAGCAATATTCACGGGCTGTTGTGAATATCATGGATTAGCCGTGGTAATACATGATGTCACAGCACACCGTTGAATATCTGATATATTTCACGGTTCCTATGCCCGGATTAAAATTTTTAATGATGACGTAATGCCGTGGAATAATTTTTGATATTTTCACGGCATTACGTCATCATAAAAATATCATCAGAAATGTTCACGGGCGAACATTAGGGGACGTGGAATATAAATAAATAATTATCTCAATATTATTATTGTCTGATAAGTACCATTACATTATTTGAACACAGCCGAAGAATTTCCAATATCATCAGGTTAATAGAAATTACAAATGGTTCCCATAGCAAAGCCACTATATATGGGCTGCCGTCAATAAATCAAGCAGATTGGCATTTTACAAAAAATTAGTGCTTTAACTTTTCACTGCTCATACCCTGATGAATTTCGAAGCTATTCTCATTATTTAATAGTCAAAAGAAAGCTTAGATCTTAAACTTTCTTTTGACTATTAAATCATGAGAATAGCTTTGAAATTTATTGGTGAAAGTTAAAGTATTGATTTTTTTTAAAAAAATGTTAATCTGCTTGATATATATCAATATATATAGTATAATTTCGATTTTAAACCACTTCCAATTAGAGTTAATTTGAAGTTAGATAATTTTCAATTATATGGTATATACGGAACGATACGAAAAGTCTTATTCAAATATTTCAACTAAAAGCACCCGCCGCATGCAACTCTATTCAACACTAAACCGCTGTTAGTCGGTTACGAACTAAGTGCAATAGTCACATCATAACCGTTAATCTATATAGAAGAATTTCCCTTTTGGTAGGTTGTCTAGGTTGTGTTATCTGAACAAATAGAGACAGATACCATCTCTAGTTTCTACTTTGTTGAAACTGCCAATTTAGCAATTTTAAAACTACTTTAAAATAGCTATAAAGTAACTATAAAGTAACTATATAGTTACTTTATAGTCGCTATAGTTTTACATTTA